TCTGTATATAAGTTCTTAGTTATATTAATCACTATCATAATCATCAAAATTTTCACCCTGAACTACTTCTGATTGATGATAGCGCCCTCTATTAGCAAAATCTTCATTGTCTTCAGTTAGTTGAGCTTGACGAGTATGCACAGCTGGTGTGGTGGGAGCTACAACAACTTGTTCTGGTGGTGTTGGTCCACGTCTGAAATGACATGAAATAGGGTTTAACATCATACTTTTCATCCTCGGTATCCCCAGTGGTTTCATTCCGTTCTACTCCTCTAAACACTGGGTTAATCTATGGGGGAGACACGTTTTCAAATCATTTGCCCTTGATGATTGTGCTATTTTTATCGACAAATCCCATGCATCGTTAATTGAAAAGGCAGTTGGGAAAAGGAAGTTGACAAAGGGAAGTAACTCTCATCGGACAAGTTTAGGAGTTGGCCTAAATGAGAGAAGTTTAAATTATTGTAAATGCGTACTTACTAACAACAAAATATATAAAATGAAATTAATGAAGACCAGACCAAATTGCCAAGTATAAGTTCAATAATAAAAAACTTAACAGAAGATAAAGAATAAATAGTAATAATAATAACAAAGTCAAACATATAGAAGTTATACATATTTGAAATCAGTGAAATATACTACATATATTGATAATACAATTAATTATAAATGAATTAGAAATATATACATTATTTACATAAATCATTCAGTAAATGGACATTAATATGGTTATCTATCCTTATAAAATCGAAGGCGAAACGACTGGTTTGTAAACTGTTTCTTGATTGGTTCGTAGACCTTATCTACAATCAAGGCCAGGGCAGATAATTTGAAATCGTGGAAACCCTATGGATTAACCCAGGGTATAGTGGAGTAGAATGGAATGAAAACACTGGGGATACTGAGGATGCATATTTTTTTGCCACAACTGGGAACACACCATGCAGTGTGCTAGGAGGGAAATTTAGCCCGAACAGTTGTACTATGACCTACTATTTTTGAACTCCAACTGTCAAGGGTTCTTTTAAAGGTCGTAAGTTTATCGTTCCATTCAAACGTCTAGACACTGTTCCTTGCTAGGCCCTCGGTTCTGCACCACTAACAAGAAACATTGGCATTCAAGAACACTTATTGGTGGTAGCCGATAGTGTTTAACTATCTATGGAAGGATAGTGGGATATTCCACTAAAGATTCAACTTTAACAATATTGAAAGTTGCAAGAGATTTAAAATCTCTCATCTGATATACAGCGACATTAAGGAAAGTATAATACAAACCTGCAACATGTCTGTACACATTCTTTTATCCAGTCATAAAAATTAAACTCTGCTATACCTAGAAACATAACATAAACATTATAGAAAACTTATTGTAATAAACCTACATTACAACAAGGGAGAATAATAAGCTCATGCCTAGCAGGTTATTATGTAGAACAATAAGCTCATGAATAGCAGGTTATTATGCTGAATAATAACCTCATACCAGGTTAATATGTACAACAATAACCTTATACCAGGTTACTATGTAGAACAATAACCGCATACCAGGTTACTATGTAGAACAATAACTTCATACCAGGTTAATATGTAAAATAATAACCTCATACCAGTTTACTATGTAGAACAATAATCTCATACCCGGTTAATATGTAGAATAATAACCTCATACCCGAGTAATATGTAGAACAATAACCTCATACCAGGTTACTATGTAGGACAATAACCTCATACCAGGTTACTATGTAGAACAATAACCTCATACCCGAGTAATATGTAGAATAATAACCTCATACCAGGTTACTATGTAGAACAATAACCTCATACCAGGTTAATATGTACAACAATAACTTCATATCCAGTGGCGGCGCCAGCCGTCGGTGATTGGAGGGGCAAAGCTGGGGCAAAGTCCAAGGTTAAGGGGGCAAAGGCACGAGCTTCAACTAGGGGTAGGTGTCCTCCCCCAGAAAATTTTGAAAAACAGGTTGCCGGAAATGCAGCCTGGCAGTATTTCAGGCACTGATCGATGAGGTAAAGTGTCAAACGAACGGACTTGCGAATCACGACGAAGCCAAATCACGAGCGTCAAAGTATGGAGTCCTCCCCCAGAAAATTTTGAAAAATAGACTGCCGGAAATACTGTCTTACAGTATTCTGTCAGGCACCGATCGTCAAGATAAATAGATCTGCCGAGATCCCGTCTGTCGTCTGATCACTATTCGACTATAGAAAAATGTCAAACGAACGGACTTCCCCTTGTGAGCGCCAAAGTAGCGAGTCCATTGGGGACCTCGCCAAGAAAATTTTGAAAAATAGACATGCTCTACAACATGCAAGTTTATGACTGAGTGGGGATGTGGGATTTATTCACCGTAGAAGGTATTGATTACCGAAACGTATCACAAATACTTTTTTTTATTTTCTAAAATTATTGGGGGGGGGGGGCAAATGCCCCCCCCCCCTGGCGCCGCCACTGCTCATACCAGGTTACTATGTAGAACAATAACCTCATACCAGGTTACTATTTAGAATAATAACCTCATACCCGAGTAATATGTAGAATAATAACCTCATACCAGGTTACTATGTAGAACAATAACCTCATACCAGGTTACTATGTAGAACAATAACCTCATGCACATGAAACATTGGTATTTTCAGCTACACTTCATCAAATTCCAACTGTAAAAGTTTCTTTTAGTAGTGTGTACAAACACAGAGCTCACACTTTCGTACCATTCAAACTACAAGGTAACAATTTCCTTGCCAGCCCCAAAGGCCAACTACTTTTCATTCTGTCTATAAAGCTTGTCTCTAAGGAAATACTTGATTGAAACATTTGTGAATCAAATTATATCAATCCTTCAAATCGAGTTAACAAGAAAATTTTGGGCTACCAAAGCATTTGCCAATTCGATTGCAATTCCGTTATCTAAACCGACATGGCAATTCCTTCATTCGAGCATCCCCTAAAAATCATCAGTGTTTGTACACAATGCTTTCTATTTTAAATAAACATCCAACTTACCGGGGAAATAGCCAGGACTAGCTTGACCAATATAGAAATAAATAGCAAAAAATACAGTCAGTTCACCTAGAGCATATACCCATTGTATCGTAAATAACAACACAAGACATACCATAGTCTGAAAATATGATCAAATATAATAGGTTAGAATTCAAATAAAATCTCTTTTAAAATCAGACTTCTGAAATAAATGTTTTGTACAAGCATGTAATCTTTAAGGTATAGAATTAGTGACACCTATACACCGGGCCATTATTTTTTTTCCCATCCAAATAACTAGATATTTTTCCATGTCACGCCCTCCATCTGTAGCCTATGACATGTTAAACCCGTAGGAAAATCCCAAGGAACTTTTTTGGCCAACGCTATTTTATCTACCTTCTAGTTAGCCTTGTAGCACCGTACTCAGCAAACATGAATTATAGATTATTGCAGACTACACATAACATCATAGATAAAACTTATAGGGAGTAAAGTCTATCTTAAAGATACACGAAGTAAGATTTAGATAAAGAGCTAGCCATTTAAACTATTATTGATTACATCAAATTCAACACATGCATGAATTCAGTCAAATCTAAATGTTAAAGGGACAATAACACTCTTGCTGGCTTGAAAGCTCCAGAAAATAAATAATATCTCTATCTAAGTACTAGATGTTTAAGTGTCCTACCTGTTGTGTAAATTATCCATTACATCTTATTTTACTTGTCCAGAGGGTTCGAAAATATTTTTAAATCGAAGTTTCATTTGAAAAGGTTTACGTTAGACGTTTCAAACCATTATGTTGAATTTTTCAAAATTTTTAAATAAGGTGTGTTAAGATGAAATTTGTATCATCAATTAATTGAAATATTCTAAAATAGTACAATTTGTTGACCAGAATAAAGATTGGGACATATTATTCAGTCACAACAAGAGTGGTATTGAGCCTTTAATGAAATTGGGTTTAACGTCTTAATTTCCTGCATAAATTGAGCTAATAAAGATGGGAATACATCTTGCACTGTGCTATAAGAAGAGAAATTTTGCCCAGTCAGCAGCATGTCAACCTAATCTTTATTGAATTCCAACTGTAAATCATTCTTTTACTTGCATGCCAATGTCTACATGGGTAGACCTTTGTTGTTTTTTTTTATCCCATCCAAACAATCAGACACTTTACCGTGTCAGACTTTCTGTCATACAAGACTGACAAGGGGTCGAACTTGGCACCTACCACTTAGTGAGCCAGCGTAACACCCACTGAGCCACATTAGCTTCCTCAAAACTGGAAAGTAAAATTCTGTTAACTGAAATAAAATATACTAAAATATATATGAATAATTTGTAAAGCTTTCTCACCCCAAATAATGATAACCATCTGTTACAGAGGGCCGAGTACCAGGATCGGGGCTGTTTAGTGATTTCTGTATTCGGCTGTTTCTTTTGTCCTTAAAGATAAATTTACAATAAACATGTACCTCAAATTAGATTTTAAATTGTACTTTTAAACACATAAAATAAAATAGTTTGAATTGGTTGTGTAGGTATTCTATTTGTATCTCACAGAGAATGTTTATAAGTTCATTTCCCAATAGGATTCAAATAGAACTGTTCAAGCCTTCCAAAAAAGTAATCTGGTTCTCACACAATCCACCCAAAATGTTTAATTCAGGAGGGAGTTTGTTTTCTTTTTCTATGAATATATCTGTTTAAAAGATCTAAGTAGATGCCACTTCCTGATAACAATATGGCATGCATTTGTTCCAGCTGGGTGCCTGAAAACATTTAGATTTGGTGTGAGATCTTTTTCGTATTTATCTGAATATGGTTTGCAGTCAATGTCCTAATGGTGACATGGTTACAAGGATTTCAGCACATTATCATTTATTACTATTAACATGGGGCAGTCAGACCTTTTTTGTATTTATCTGAATATGGTTTGCAGTCAATCTTTAGAGAAAGTCCTTATTTATTATTATTAACCTTATGCAGTCATATCATATTTACCATCTATAAGTTGTGTTGTATCATTTAAATCACAGGCTTCCTCAAGACCAATCTTTTTCTTAGTAGCATCAAAATCGGCCTCGGGAGTAGTGGCAGCACTAAGAGTTGTTCTGCTGTCTTGTCGTATAAGATGTTGATGTTGACCTCTCTGTGATATTCTTTCAGGAAACAATTTATCCAAATCATTGCGCATATTTTCCAAAGAATCTTTATTTCTGGACACATCAACTGTTAATGGTGTTGTACTGTAACCAACAGATCCATTGGTGATATCACTTCCTGTACTGGATTTCCGCACACCAATATTTCCATTTTGTTGAAATCTGGCTTCCCTCACCTACAGAACGAAGTAAACAAATGAAACTAAATAAAATGAGGTTTATCACCCTACTTGCCTGAAACAACCGGGTCATGCAATATGCTATGATGTGTGAAATTTTGCTTGGACAGGGGCGTTTTCATAGACTCTTAATCAAATTCCAATCGTTAAGAATTCTTCTACGTGTGCATCAGATTGTAGAAGGGACCTCAGTTTTTCATTCCATCAGAACAACCAAACAATGTTCCTTTCATCAGGCCCAGCTTCCTACACAACTGGGCTTTACAAGCCTGTTGAGGAACAGTGTCTGGTGGTTCTGATGGAACAAAAAACTGAGGTTCTCCTTCAACGTCCTCCTTTTCTGCACCAACCGGGCTACACTGTGTGCCATAAGGGAAATCTTTGCCTGGACAGTGGGGGTTTCCATTTACTCTTCATCTTATACTAGCTGCTAAGGCTTCTAGATGGGACCTCAGTTTTTTGTGTAAGAACAATAAGAAGTTGTCTCTTGCTAAGCCCTCCTTCCTGCATTACTGACAATGGAATCTCAGTCGGAAAAACCTGAGGAACTTTCTTGGCCAATACTGGGATCAAACCTGGGACCTTCTGGTCACTGAGTCAGCACACTGCTCGTAGGTGGACAAACAATATATGACATTTTAAAGTTTAGATATATATGTCTTTCAAAGTTTGAAATACTCCTGAAAATCTTTATCAATGGTCTTACTAATTTTGTCATAAAAACGACATTCAATAAAAACTTTTTTAAAGGAAAATTGGTTTTCCAATTTCATGTTGACTATAAATATTTGAGTTTATTATCCAAAAAACCTTTTGAAGTACAATAGTTTTTATTTTCATTTATTGGACTGGCTATTATTGATTTAGGAATATTTTTGGAACCCAAAATATTTTTTAATGGAATTTAAGACATTAAGATATGCCATATTCTGTAGTGTTTAAATGTATAGTTAATCAATTTTGCTATTCTCATAAGAGTCTGTGTTATAACTGTAAGAATCTGTTTTGTAATAGAAAAATTCTGTGTTATAATTGTAAGAATCTGTGTTATACGAGTAAGATTCTGTGCTATAACAGTAAGAATCTGTATTATAATAATAAGAATCTATTTTATTATAAGAACCTGTGTTATAATAGTAAGAATCTGTGCTATAACAGTAAGAATCTATTTTATTATAAGAAACTGTGTTATAATAGTAAGAATCTGTGTTATTGTAGTAAGAATCTACGTTATTATATACTATTCAAAAAAAGTAGGGGATATTTGATTTTTAAGTGTTATTAAAGTCACCTAATGAAACTGACGAAGAAACAAATGACAAAATGAAATGAAGTTCACATTCATCGATTTATTCCAAATGATCGTTAGACTAAGTAAGGCACAGACTGACCATTATAAGGGTAAAATGATACCCGGGGTCAAACAGCAAAGTTACCACAGCATCACAACCAAGTCAGTAACGGGCAAATCCTCCTCTGTTTGCCAAACAAGCATTGATCCGACGTGGCATACTCCTAATGAGACGTCTAAGGTCATTTTGGTCCAGATTGTCCCATTCCTGTTGCAACGCAGCAGCAAGTTCTTGGACATTGGCAGGACGTTGTTGACGTTGACGTAACCTCTGTCCAAGCATGTCCCAGACATGCTTGATGGGGGAGAGGTCGGGACTCAGTGCTGGCCAAGGTAATGTGGTGATGTACTGTTGTTAGAGGTAACCTGTAACGATCCTGGAAGATGAAACGGCGGCCATGACGTCGTGCGAACGGCACAACATGGACTGCCAAGATGTTGTCCCGGTAGTACTGGCCTGTAACACGCCCTGCAACAACATGTAAAGCCGTTCTTCAGCAACAGTGATGCCTCCCCACACCATAACAGAACCACCCCCAAATCGATCATGTCTGATGACGTTAACGTCTTGGAAGCGCTCGTTTCGACGACGCCACACCCTCCTACGTCTGTCCAAAAAATCAACAGTGAACCTTGACTCATCTGAAAACATCACATTGCTCCAGCGTCGATTATCCCAGTGTTGACGATCCCTACACCAATGACGTCTTGCCTGAATGTGATGATCTCTCAAACAAGGGATCACGCGAGGACGTCGGGCGCGAAGGTGACCCCTATGCAGTCGATTCCGAATCGTCTGGCCACTCCCACCAGTGTCTGTTTGAAGACGAGCGCTGATCTGATTTGCTGTGATGACACAATTTCTCAAGGCCAAGGTACGGATAAATCGATCCTGGGCTTGAGTTGTCGCCCTTGGTCGACCTGAGCGTGGTCTGTCCTGTACAGATTGTGTATCACGGTATCTGGACCATAGCCTGCTTATGACAGACTGAGAAACATTCATCGTCCGCACCACAACCGCCTGTGTTGTGCCGATCTGTAGCATGCCAAGGGCACGTAACCTTTCATTTTGGGTAAGCCGACGCATATCAAAATTTGTTTTCTGGTCACTAAAACAATTAAACTGATGTTTCCACCCTGGAATTCAATGCCACAATGACTGTAACATTCAAAGTCAGAGTCGTGCAAATCTTGGGTTGGACCCCCATGATGATCCCAAGCATCACCTGCATTCCATGCGGTAGCTATTGGTGCGTTTGGGCGTCACATGTAACTGGAAATGTTTCTTCTGTTAGGTTCTATAGTGACTTTTTTCGTAGTCATTTGCATATTTTAGTATTATGCCCCCAAAATCAAATATCCCCTACTTTTTTTGAATAGTATAGTAAGAACCTGTGTTATAATAGTAAGAATCTGTGTTATTATAGTAAGAATCTTCGTTATTATAGTAAGAATATGTATTATAATAGTAAGAATCTATATGTAACAAAGTACATGGGTAAATAACAAAATACATAAGAGCCTACCTTCCGTTTATCGTAGCTCATGGCTAGAGCGAAGTAACTGTAATCTATAGCTGCGTATGTTAACATAAAGGCAGTGGTTACAACTGGAGCTAATGTATTAACTTGACCCACACAGATAAATAATAAGACGACTAGAGTTATCACTATCAACGCATAAACAGGTACTTTATTAGGTCCACGCTGTAATATAAATATATAAAATATAAACAGGTATATTATATAATATATAAAATATAAACAGGTATAGTAATTGATAAGAAAATATGGTGTATTGGAAGGAACTGATATGAAATAAAAGATACATTCTCGCTAAAGTATTAATTGGGGTTTTTTATTTCCAATAAAAGTAAAGGCAAATTTGGTATATATATATATATGGAAAGTAGATGCCGAATCTTACTAGAACAAAAAAATGGATTCCCTGAAAAACACAAACTGGGCAAGCACTGGGCAAAAATGTCAGGGTATTACTCACTAGCCCAATGGCTTATTGTCTGCTAGCGGTTGTTATTTCTTGATCGATTGGTTAGGCGGTTTTGGAAACATTGAGGTGTTTAAACGTACAACAGACTCTGCAATTAAATGGCAGGAAACGGAAATGGCAGATGGTAATCCAAGAATTTACATAGGCATCAATATGTATGGTAAACGGACAGTAAGTGATGACAAATACATTCTGAAAATGGGCTCTCCCTCTATCAAGTTAGATGACAAACATGGCTTCTAAAAATACTTTTTTTTATATCCTCGCGAATACAATGTTTTGAGAGGGATTTTAAGCAAATTTTTGATAGATTAATTAGTTTGGATATGTTTTTAGTCCGAATATATCATCAAATCACCCAGTTTGTACACAGGAAGGCATCTTTAACATTGCCAACCTGGCTAATACAATGTACTACGGAGGATCTTTATAATGCTGCTAATGGGTTTTCATCCCATCAGAATGACTAGATGCTCTTCATCACTTGGCCCTCTGTCTAACACCACTGACAATGGGAAACCAGGGTAGAAAATCTTGAGCATGAAACATTTGAGGAATAATTTTTTGTTGTTACAGCGGATAATAAACAAAAACTTGGCTCTGAATCTTGCAAGAATGTTCGAAATGAAATTATTTGTAATTAATTACATGTTTATTATTATTGATTTTCCAAGTCTAAATCTATTGAGGAGATTGATTCAAGTTTCATATCAAATGCCCCATTTGTATTTATCAATTAGCCAGAGAGAGAAAGAGAGAGAAAGAGAGAGATATGGTTCATATTTATTTCAATAATTTGCTTGCATGTTTGGGTCTTTAGCTGTGGGAGGAAACAACAGGACCCAGAGAAAACACACTACTCCTTTTCATGTACAAATGGGGAATCTAAAACCATGCCACTTGAATCAATGACAGACCTTATGGTTTCACCTGTTAAACCATTAGACCACCCATCCCTCCACCTTTTTAACACAGAGAGAGAGAGAGATAGATGGTTGAACCTCCACTCAACACAAACCAGGTCATTTCGGGACTAAAACATGGTTCAATTTTATTCCAATAATTCACAGTGGGAGGAAACCGGAGGACCAAGAGAAAACACATGAGGTTAGACAGTTGTCACGTACAACCGGGAAATCAAAAACCACGCCAGTTGACTCAATGACAGACCTTATCAATTAGCATTTTTTATATTCTACTTACTCCACGTCCCAATATTTTCATGAATGGAATGACATTTTCGTTAGCTATTGATTGTAGAATTCTTGGTGGACCGTATAAACTTCCCATACAGGATGATACAGATGATAAATATAAACCAGCTAACCATAGAAATCCTACTATAGACACCTATAATATATTAAATATCAACATCATCATCATCATAATATAAGCACCTATAATGTATAAAATATGATCATCAGAAACTGTCAATTTTTATATTAGGCCATACAAAACAAATTCTGTTTCCCAGAAGAAATAGGAAGCAAAATTATTTTAATAAATGTGACCAAACAACAAAAATTATGTTTGGTGTGACCTTTGTTGCACGCCAACAACAAAAGATGACGTCACATCTGTATTTCAATTCCTACGCCTTTTGATTCTGAAATATGGACCTAGAAAATAAAAATTGAGGCAATTTGGAGGTATTGAATGAAACTAGTTACGTGACATACCTTTTCAGCAATCATATAATCGTCAAGTAAATAAGACCGCAAACAAGTAGCTCCTAGTACCAGTATAAAAGATATATATAGTATCGTTCTGAAAAATATTTAGTCACAAACATAATATATAATAATTTCTGTATGCGCATGGTTGGCTGATTACTACATTCAAAATTTAATGGAATGAACATGCTCCTGGTCAGTGAGCCAGTGTACACATGAAGCCACCATTCAGAAAGAAAGAAAATTATTTTTATTCAGTTAATTTAAAATGAGGTAGGATTTAATCTCCACTTAAAACAAACTACTATATCTGTGGACTAAGATGTGGAAAATACTTATTTCAATATAATTCACTTGCATGTAAGAGTCTTTGCAAGTGGGAGAAAAACATACAGCCTTGGGATCAAAAAGATGCCACATAATTTATGATCAGGGGCCTGTTTCACGAAATTTTAACTAAGATAAAAATCCAAATTTTAGTAATTTGATTGGATAATATTAGATTGATTTTAGTGCTTAACCAATCAAAATTGAAGTATCTACTAAAATTTGGATTTTATCTTTATTTAAGATTTCGAGAAACAGGGTCCAGATCAATAGATTATTGATCTGGTACACAGATAACCAACCGATACATATATAGCTGATTGATCTTATAAAAAGGTACATAAATTATTAATCTTATATAAAGGTACCAGTGCATAAATTATTGATCTTATTTAAAGATACATAGATTATTGATGTTATATGAAAAATGAAATGACGTCCTATTTTTCTACACAGACTGGGCTAATGAAGATGGGCATACGCTATGCACAGCAGCTCCAATCTTATATGAAGGTACATAGATTGTATATGACAGAAACTGTACTTACCCTACACCTAAAGATGCTAGTGTACCACGAGGTATATTATGGAAAGGATCTTGTAAATCACCGCTCATATTGATACCAGCTAGAATACCAGTAACTGTCGCAAAAAATAGACCAAAAATACTGAAAAAGCTCTCTCCTTCAGCATATTCTGGTCCTGAGTTGTTGACAAAATTTATCTCTGTATACCCAGTTACCCCATTCTCTGTAAAACAAATAATAAAATATAGGTTGCCAGGCAACAAAACATATGCCTCAAGCAGTCCACAGAGGTTTCACTTACTTAATGCTTAGTAAATTGGAGAATTTTCAAGACAATAAAAAGTTATCAAGAGTAAAAACTCATGAAGTAATTTGTCAGAAATAATCAAGATTCCTAGAGAATATGCGATTTAGAGCATGTCTTATACAGAAACAATTGTATTTATTCTTAGCATAAAGGGGGGGGGGGGTGGAGGCCGAATGGCTAGCCTGTGCACGCTGTATCATAAGGTCTGTAATTGAGTCACCTGGCATGGTTTCGCTTCACCAGTTGTATGTGACAAGGAATAGGGTCGCCTGACCAACCTTGTGGGTTTTCTCCGGGTCCTCCGGTTTCCTCCCACTGCTAAAGACCCCTACGCGCAAGCGAATTATTGAAATAAAAAGGAACCATGTGTAAGTCCCGAAATTACCTAGTTTGTGTCAAGTGGACGTTAAACCTCATTTCTCTCTCTCTCTCTTAGCATCAACCAGAAAAGAGGTAAATTGGATCATGGAGTTCAAATATAAATATACCAGTACATTAATTTTAAAATATTTTAGAGACTCCCCACCACTCGGCGCCCCTCAGAGGCCACCAATGATAATGTCAATATATTGATTGTTGTAGGAGTTAAAATAAAGACAAATATTCTAAACAAAACGACATTATAACAAATATTCTATTATAATATTTACTTAAAATAGTGATAGTCACAGCTGTTGCAGACATTTATTGATAAAGCTCGAAATTTCAAAATTTCATAACAACGTTCAGGTCAATTATTATTATATGTGACATACGTGCAGTATAATATGACAATCTAATATATTACATGTTTGATTACTCTTATAATAATTTAAATATATTTACAGTTCAATCTGTAGCCAAAAGAAAAACACATTTTGTATGAAAAGATTGAAATCGTGCCAACTAAATAAAGGTATTATAGTAAACAATTGACTTTTTACAGCATCGTCAAATACAACATTGCCAGGCAACAAATATATGCGTACTTTCAGCATTTTGAAAATTGGCTTTCAAGTTTACAGGATCTTGGATAAAATAGTCATAGGGGAATTAACTTTGTGTAAAATTAAAGCATTACCCTAAATTTCAAACGGACTTATCCTTATGACAAGCTTTCAAAAACTCTGACTTGTAGACCATTTGGGTTTTTAATGGGCTATACAACCTTTTATTGACATTCTAGCATCCATTGTAAAAAAATACAGAAATACAATGTCCAGGTATAAATCATCCAGTAATTAATACTTTACTTACCTACATCAGTATGAACAAAAGATCCAACAACAAGATCCATGGCAGATAAAAATAATACTAATAATAACACTAGTTGTAGACGTATAACCCATTTTACTCCTGCTACATTAATACCTATAATATATCATTTAAACATATATTATACAAGAGCTAAATCTGCCTATTGTAGGTCTTTCTTTAGGCCTGAAATGTTATCTAAATTATCAATTAGACATTAATTAACTTATCCAGACCATAATAAACTCTCGATGTCAAGGCTAGCCTTCGATGTTGGCTGGATTAGATTCCTATATGCCGCTTAACGGCCATTGATAATTAAATCAAAACAGTGGATAATCGAGACTATGCTGTTTATATTAATGATTTTAGTAATGATGACCGAGACTATGCGAAAATTTCACCCGCTTCATTCTCGGCTCATAGTGGATCAATTTGACTGAAATTTTCAGCAAATTACCTTTACACTATCTAGTTTTTAACTATTATAGCGAGAACTGCCATCTCTTTATCTTATCTCCCATAATGTATCTTTAACATAATAAACAAATGGTTCAATGATCACAAAAACAGGCAAATCAAACCGATTAAGTCTAGTTATCAGGTGATTCTCTTAGACAATTTGTTAGTGCCTCCATATGGCTAGAAAATATTAATAAATCATACTGCTAAGATACTTTAGAAAGTGAAACGAAATCAGGTTAAAAGTACAAGGTAATGAAATGGACCTTCGTAACAAAAGCGTACTGTCCCAGTTTGGGTAACAGAATGCATCTAAAAATTATTCAGTCCTGAGAACAAGTGAAATGGGTTTTAACATCCTACTTTTTGCATCAATCAGGCTAATAAAGATGGATATATGTCATCCAGTGTGCTACGAGGAAAATTTTGCCTGAGCAGCGGCAATTCCAGTGACTCTTCAATGAATTACAACTGTTTAAAGTTCTTTTATACACACCAACTAGTACGCAGGAGAACCGTTGTCCTGTACCATCAGAACAACTAGACGCTTCACCTGACAGGCTCTCTGCACTGTAACACTGGCACGGGCAAACAATGATGGAAAGTGAGATGTGGGCTTGAAAAAATCGCAAAGCTTTTTCGATCTCTGCTCTAATGCTAATAATCAAAGTAAATAATGTCATACCCATTAACAATATAACTACACCAAAAGCTATTCCTCTTGCTATCCATGGATTAGTTTCACCAATCAACTCCATGACTGATTCACCAAAACCCATCACAGACAGCGAACAACTCACAGCCTGCAAGTATAGAAATAATTTATTTATAAAAATAAATGGATATTAAATAAATCAAAATGTATATATATAATCCAACTATCAGGTTATCAGGGGATCATTCACATGCTACCAATGGTATACACAGGACCGTGTTAGGTTTTGTTTATTGGTTCCAATCAAATGACTACCATTTTCCTTGCCAGGCCTTCCATCTTGCAATAGTTGGAAAGATAGGTTGCCAGGCAACGAAACATACGCCCACAGCAGCTAAATCGTCCGGGCAGTCAACAAGAGTTGTCGCATATTTTTACTTTTTTCGGTAATGACACATTTATAATACATTAAAATCTGATTAAAAGTAACAACTCATTAAGTAATTATCAGAAAACCATTAGAATTTGTTTGGTTTTTATAAAGTTTTAATGATTAGTATACAAAACTTTTAACATCGTGGATTTAGCTGTTCAAGTCATAAAGATTCATTGAAAATCAATATACTTGTTCGTCTCGAGACCTTAAACACTGTGTATAAATTTAAAGTCAATCGGATATTAACTTTAGCGTCCACAAGATTTTTCAAAGTGATCAAGGGCCATAACTCTGGCAAAAATTATCGGAAATCGCTGATAATCAATAGGCTTCTTCGTCTCATGGTCTTCAACACTGTATATAAATTTAAAGTCAAGCGGATATTAACTTTAGCCTCTAGAGCGTCCACAAGATTTTTCAAAGTGGTCAAGGGCCATAACTCTGGCAGTAATTATCGGAAATTGCTAAAAATCAATAGGCTTCTTCGTCTCATGACCTTAAACACTGTGCATAAATTTAAAGTCAATCGGATATTAAATTTGACCTCCAGAGCGTCCACAAGATTTTTCAAAGTGATCAAGGGCCATAACTCTGGCAAAAATTATCAGAAATAGCTGAAAATCAATAGGATTCTTCGTCTCATGACATTATACACTGTGTATAAATTTAAAGTCAATCAGATATTAACTTTGACCTCTAGAGCGTCCACAAGATTTTTTGAAGTGATCAAGGGCCATAACTCAGACAGTAATTATCGAAAATCGCTGAAAATCAATAGACTTCTTCGTCTCATGACCTTAAACACTGTGTATAAATTTAAAGTCAATCGGATATTAACTTTAGCCTATAAAGCGTCCACAAGCAATTGTAGACGTCGGACCGACGGATGAACGGACGGACGGGGGCGACATCAATATACGACCACATTTCAATGTGGGCGTATAAAAAGCCTAATACTTTCATGACTAATATCAAGATCTCACCGGGGAGGGCCTCCATGTAAATGACCCAGTGCCAACACCATACTTAGAAAGCAAACATCAAGACAAATGAGTAAATTTACAATGGAAGGCAAGGCGACCAGATATTTATAAATGCTAGGTTTCTGGCGAGTGAACATATATATATCTTGAAGTCCCCAATTAACACTATAGCTATCTGAACTTTTCTCCGTAAAGATAACGTAATCAGCAATGATCCCGGTCGACTGTCACTCTTGCTTACTTCCTGGTTTGAAATTGGTCAATCCCATTGTCCTGTGCGAGGAAATTCTCATTGCGCATGCGCTGTATTTATCAGAAGTTTATGAGACAGCTGACAGCATGGCTAGCAGACGAATCAAACCTATATCGTCTTACTTTACTGGTAAAGTAACTTTGTCTTGCAGTGAGTCTCGGTCGGGGGAAAATGATGATAGTCATGCTACTGACGCTACACGACCCAAACAAGCAAAATTACAAGCTTCGCCGTCTTCGTCTCGCAGTGAGTCCCAGTCAGAAAAAAATGTTTAAAACATCTTTTATTATTATTATAAATTATAGGATGATAAGTTGAAGAGTTATGTATGTTCACAATATAATTTAGCTATATCATACAACAAATTATTCTAATCTTCAGACTTGGCAACTGAAAATTTTGTTTGGCTAGTGGTTTCAAATTGCTGTGTAGAGCCTTGGAAGGGAATTATTTGTGGCTATTCAATAGTTATCATAACCCTAAACAACTGAAGTGAAAACTTAATATGGCTTGACTGTGAACGGAACACATATGTGTACTTTAAATAGAAATATGAAATAATTTTATTTACCTGAGCAAAGCAGTAAACAATACCAATACTTCCACCTATCCGTCCACCTAGCACATGTGATATAAGAAAATATACACCCCCTGCATCCATCCGACATCGTTCACACACACCAATCGCACTTAAAGCTACAATAAGTACTATAGATACGGACAGAAACACGGTTACTATAGATAATCCTATACCAGCATTACCCTGAAATACAATAATATACACTTATTTAAAAATACTGTTCAATAGCATATCGTCGGTGAAGTGTCAAAAGGGTGTATCTCAGGAAATTAGTCAAATATACTTTTTTGCATATTTAAAATCTCCCAATTAATATGCACATTTCTATCTAAGCTGTGTATCTCTACGCCTATTACAACTGTTCTGGGTATCATGTGTCCAAATGTTGTATCTTGATTTGTGGAAATTTTGAAATGCAAAAGGTTCTATTTCTTAATCTTTAGAAATTCTTAGATACATTACCGACGATATATATACTATCTAAGGATAATCCTATACCAGCATTACCCTCAAATACAATAACATACTGTTAACAAATTGAAGGTACAACAACTTAACCCTATACCAGCATTAGCAATCCTTTCCCTAATTTCTCCAGCGAAAAATGTCAACTCAATGAAACCATTTAATGTACCGGTACTGTTGAAAAATATGAATGGCGATTTAAAGTCGTCCTTTTCTGCACCAAGCGAACTTATCTAGATTTGCATACATTATGCAGTGTGTGCTATGATGGAAATTTTGCCCAGACAGTGGTCTTTTTTCCTCCTACCCTTTGTTAAATTCCAACTCTCAAGCATCTTTTATGTGCATGCAAGAATGTTCAAGGGACTTTGTTTTTTAGTTTCCAACACCGGGAAGACATGGTTAGGGAGCCAGCCCCATACTCATTCAGCCACCATGGCCCTATTGTTGATAAAGGTAGATAGTATATCAGTAGCATATACATACTGAAATATTTTGCAGGTAAAATAACAGTTAATTGCAAACATGTTGAAGCCATTGACAGCAGAGCTACTACCCATTCTATCAGGGGATATGTAACATGTTGGGTTTTTTTGTTGGGGTTTTTGTTTTTTTGTCCTCTTTGTTTCCTCCCACAGCTAAAGACTCAAACGTGCAAGCAATAAAAATAAACCATATGTTAGTTCCAAAATGACCTAATTTGTGTTGAGTGGACGTTAAACCCCATTTTTCTTTCTCTGTTAAAAAGACAGAATATACTTACAACTATCCAGCCCATTCGTAAGAAAATAACAACAGACAGAATGTTGATCAAACAGGAAGTAAATACACCATCCCATGTACCAAATAATACTGGTGCTGATATAAAAAAATTCGATTTCCACCATGGTACTTCTGATAAATCCTAGAAAATCAATTATACAAATCGATTATCCTAGTAACATAAAACTATATAGCTGCTGTTTAATCAAACATTTAAGGAATGGAGAGGTACAATTTGGTTTAAAACACTGCCCCCCACCCCCCAATAAAAAAAAAACGACTCCATCATCAACATCCTGTGACCTTGAATATAGTTTGGATGATACAGGAGTAGACCTCTGCGTTATTGGTAATCAACAACCAAATACTAGAGCGTACAAAGTTTCATTATCTTCAATGGTTTATCAGATATGACTCCGGAAAAAAATAGTATACCAAAAAACTAAGTCAAATATATTTGCATGGAAAAACTAAAAATATTATTAAATAAGAGAAATGTCTAATTAGCAAAAGATTATACAAGTCGGGTGATATCACCCTAGATGGAAAAGAACATTAAGCGTGACGACCAACAACAGCAAAATTCAGTAATTGGTTGATGTGTGTACGCAGTTTCATAAAGATATCCTGAATGGTATATGAGATATATTCCACAACCAAAACTGGCATGGGCGACGCCCTTTTCAATACCTCTCCCTTAACATAGTTGGGTGCTGGATCAAAAATATCAGTACCTGATCCTCTCTGAATAGTTCATTTTGATTTCCGTAATCTGTCGACTGGTAGGCTCCATGTTCCACTTCACTCTGTGGATGATGTTTGGCTGACTGTTGTTGTTGATCCAAACTTAAACCAAATCGACTCCAATCTGGTTTCTTGGACTTTGTCCTCTTTGTAGAACCTTCTGACATTAATGTCGACTTTTCTCCCTCACCGACGTCAGCCATTTTGAGCCCAGGTCAAGAAATTTTGTTGATTTAAAGCTAATTACTACACTGTTGAAATGTCATGTTTTGTAAAAAAAAAGCGGATCATCAACAATGATAATGTTTTTTGGTCATCATTAAAATTAAATTATATTTATTCAGAGTTTTAAATTGTTTAAATGGCTATCTGATCCAGACTTGCTATATCTGTTATCTGACTAAGACAGGAAGCTGGATTATTATGCCATTCTTTCTGAAATATAAAATAAATATATTGATAAACAATACTGATTTTTCTACATATAGTTGGTAAATTATATATTAATATGAAATGAAATGGGGTTTAACATCTTACTTTTGTGAACCAACCTGGTTAATAAGGAAAGACGTACGGCATACGCCATGAACGACCTACACTTGTTTCGATTTCCATCTGTCAGGGAATCTTTAAAGTACTTCAATTATGGGACAGGACCGTTATTTGCCGTTCCATCTGAATGACTAGATACTTTTCCTTTATCACTGACAAAGGGAAACTAGGCTGAAATACTGTGAGGCAGCAGTGAGATCGAACCACAGACCACCTGTTTGGTGAGCAAGCGCTATGAAAATATAGTTGTTTCTATGACGATGTTGCCTAATTACCAGTATTAGATTTAACGGGTCAATTCCTCTTCAGTTTACATGAAGGGATTATCAGGTTGCGAGCTGTAGGAAATGTAATATGCACTACACAATTTATAAAACAACTTTATGTTGTTGTGCTTTTTATATAAAAAAAAACTCCATTGGAATGGGGTTTCAACTCATGGAATGGAATAGAATGAAATAATTTTTCAAGTCTAGTCAACACCATGCTATGGCCATTTTGAGACTAATCACTAAACTATGGTAGATTTAATTTCTATGTGGTTACTTTTTCAATGTGAAAGGGGGGTGGGGGCATTCCAGGTAAATTTGATTTCTATTGCAAATTAAGTGCAAGAACATGACTCCACAAAATAATAAAACACAAAGAGGAAAATCACAACACACTTAGCATAACTCCACAGACAATAAACAAACAGGGAAACCATGACAAGCTTTTAGATAAGCCAGGATTGGACAACTTTAGGCAATTTGGAGTATTCAAATTGACAAATTGCATCTCATACAAAATATCAACAGCTTTTTCTATAGGATTTTTTTATAAGGCCACCCCTACCACTGAGCACATTTTCCAAAAGTTGTGACTCTTCAACAATTTCCTTAATTCTTTACTTTAATTGTACAATACAAGTAAAATCTATACACACTAATTACACAATATGGTCCTGTTGCACTAATGACTGACATTCGTTCTTGTACCTGTATTGTAAATGTGTCCACATGTTAAATTTCTGTCTGTCTAATTGTTTGTCCTATGTACATAAAAAAATTTCACCTATCCATTATTTTCATGCAAATCACCATGTACAATGTAATTGTAAATGTATAATATAGCATTGTCAGCGGTATCACTTTGGTGGAAGCAGACATTAAATTATGCTATTTCACACAAATGTGAAAATCTAAGCAGAAACAAATGCCACATTAAGGTAATGTTTCTATCTCTGTTAACATTTTTACTTAATTTAATCTTTTGAAGTTAGATGGCACATATAATAATATTTGACATAGAACATAAAATGTTGGCCATACCTGGGTATGTACTCAAGTAATAAATCCTGTGATCAACTATAATTAGTTAACACCATGCAGGAGTCAGTAAATAATAAAACAATGTGACTGTAATGTAGTTCTTTCAAATAATCCACCTGAGAGATTGATGATTATGTTAGTGTCTATTAGTGATTAACAGAATCATGGTCTTCTGTCAATAACAGTATGTCAGCCTGTAGAACAGTTTCTAATCAATACCCACCCACTTCTTACACTAAACCAACATCAAGGACATACATGTAGAATTCAATACAATGTCTTTGCATGTCTATTGATTATCATTAAAGCTATTTTTTCAAACATTTCTTATAACAGACCTCAGTGCATGATGCTTTTATTGTTATTTTTAACAGATGCATGTGTGTAATGTATCTATAAGATAGCTAAAATCAGCATATTTATGAAGATACCGGTACCAAGCCGGTTACTGTTGTCCTATGGGCACGGTGCTGTGACAGCAGATATTAGATTATTTACAGTAATAATACATGAGTCATTTTATTTTCCATACATAAACAAGAACCGACATTCCTCAATATCAAATTATGTATATTTTTGGTAGGCACAGTATGTAATAACTAAGTATAAACATTTACATTACACATTTGAATAATTGTGTTTCACAGTACATGTATGTAGTAGATACAACTACAAGAAATACATATCAAACAGTAATATATCATATCATTTGAAATTATTGAACAATAATGTAGAGATAATAAAAATACTGAAGTCCCTGCATGATATCTATCTATAAATAATCATTAAAACATACCCTAATCTACATGAAAATATTTCCTCTAGCCACCATTATCCATTCCTGAATCTATTCATAATCATACAACAAATTAACATTTCATTGGCCACCAACTACTGATTGTAGTTCTCATTGGAGGAATGAGAGAGTGTATTGATTTTTTAACATGGCTAGTAAGACAGCTGTTAGTCTCTGCCATGTGGCCATATGACACAGTAATGTGATATATTAAACACTTATTACATGCAAAACTGCTTAAAATTATGCACAAGCTGTGATATGAGATACAGTTGTTGAAATAGTAGTTTAGTTAATATTGATGGTTTGGTCCTGTGAGGCCGTTGACAACATTATTTATTATGCTGAATTGTAATTATTACAATAAGGAGGTTTGGCCTCTGGCTCTGGTTAGTTCCTACTCCTAGACTTTATTATTATAATGAAACATTGATTAGTTGGTGATAATTACTTAGATACATATGTATATATATCCGGTCAAACATTAGCGCAGCAGGACCATACCATGTAATCAAATGCATAGAGATTTTACTTTTATCACACAATTAAACTACAGACTTATAAAATTGTTGGAGAGGTTTAACTTTAGAAAATTGAGCTCAGTGGTAGTGGTCACCTTAGGAAAAAATCCTATAGAAGAAATTTTGTTCTGTCGATATTGTGGAGAAACATATATAACAGATGAGCATTCTATATAGTTATCTGTAAAATTCTGGTGTTGACCATACTTAAACCAATTTAACAATATACTATATTTCCTACAGAATAATGTAAGAAAAATTTAATATTCTATAGGCTACTACAGATTTATTAATATTATTTATAGCTCACTATAGGAATTTAGTGGTGCCCTAAGATGGATTCTGTAGAAATTACCGGTATATAGATTCCATCAGAATTCACCTAATTTAGTGTCATATCAAATAACAAACTATAATAAGCTTACCATGAAATTAAAATAAAGTCTTAAATGAATCTTCCAAATTGTATATACTGGTAAAATGAATGAAATTGTGATGTTGTCGCTCAAAGAAATCAGTGCAACCCACCCTGGCACCCTCTAAAAAATGCCAACTGGTCTATATAATGTTAAATTAGATTAGCTTTATGTGATTTTGTTACCGTATTTTATTAACACATAACCTCATTTAACTATTGTTTTCAGTTATATCAAGCACACGACACAACTTGTTATGTTTCTGAGTAGTTGACCAAAAATCGAATCCAAATTAATCTACAGAGAGAAAAATAAAATTAATAAGCTATAAATCTCAGTTTAGAAGATATCATGTCCAAATACATTGGTGGTCGATGTACTTTCGATCATAAGAACTGTCATTAAGTCAAGTGGCATGGTTTCTATCCCATTACCTCATTAAGGATTTGAGTTGGGTTGCAATATTTCAAACAAAATCCACATAATAAGCCCACCCTATTCCTTGCTATATATACAGGCCTATATAGTATATATGTCACAGTCTGCATCAATTTTCCCAAAAGTTGTTTTTTTAGGAGTTATTTCATAGTCATTCTACCAAACACCTTTTAATACTGCATGCTATTGTTATTGGCCCTCCTGCTAATTAATTTCAGTGAGCTTTGATTGAATCAGATTTTGATCTTTAAAAAAATACAGTTTTATAAGTTTTACTTGTTTACTTTTTTTTTAGATAGATCTAGGCCTACAAACTTCATTTGCATTTTTTGGGCACATGAATGGTAATTCAGAAAAATTGAAGAGAAATGTTATGTAATGGTACTAATAACATTCAGATCTGTTACCTAAAGAAAAGTAAATACCGAGGGAGAAATAAAGTGCGCACAGACTGACAGAGCCCGTTCCTAAAGCCATTAAGGCTGTTCAAGGCTGTTGTCACTAAAACAGTACCACATGGTAAATGAAAAAGCACAGATAAAACTGTTATGTTATTGTTATGCGACCAATATTATTTGGAAAAAAATATACTATGGACATGATACCAATAACGCCCTGTTGCCTTCACTTCATTCATTCCACATTTCTGCAATATTTTCTGATTTCTGTGTTTGTTCATCATAAAACTAAAATATGATCAAGGGGAAATAAACGTGTTTAATATTTTATGTTACCTCCCCTTAACTGTACATCGGCGGATGGACATTCAGTGTGCAGACGACCCACAAGTTCACAAACGGAATGGTTCCACATATCACTCACTGAGTGAGTGCTGTCAGCTGCAGTGTATATTCGCTAAGCCGCCATACAAGAAGGCCTTCGCAATACCTTTGTGAAACAGAATGGGGCGGTTTGATCAGGACTCATGCCGTTCTTAGAAATGAAATGCAAAATGTGACATGAGACAAATGCCAATAATTCAGTAGGCCTAATGTAATTATCAGAAATTAATATAACAATTCATGTTGTCGGTAGCACTAGCACGCCGCGGCTAGCAGTTACAGTTACAAACTCCTCATACTATTTGGTAAAAGCTGTGATTTGCAAACACCAATAATTTTGTGTCATATTTATACTGGCTTGAGTTTAAACTTAAAAGAGATATAAAATGGGGTTTAATGTCCTTCTTTCTGCTCCAGACCAGTCTAACTGAGTAATGGAGACAGACATATGCCATGCTGTGTATGTGTGCTATGAGGGAAATTTTGCCCGAACAGCGGTACTACTCTTATATTGAATTCCAACAGTCAAGGGTTCTTTTACGTGCACTGCAATGTGTACCTGGAACCGTGCAGTTTTTTGCCCAAACAGGTGTACTACTCTTATATTGAATTCCAACAGTCAAGGGTTCTTTTACGTGCACTGCAATGTGTACCTGGAACCGTGCAGTTTTTCGTCCCATTTGAACAACTGTTGAATTAGAAATGGTTCCACTACTCAGCTGATGTCTTCCGTCTTGCTCCAGCCACAGTAGTGGACCGTCCTATAAGCTATAAAGGCCTTCCTTTGAGCAAGTTTTGTAGTGACTAAAAAAAGTTACTGGCCCATAACTCCCAATAACACTGACACCAAATTGTACTGTACATGGCTTAACATATAATAAACCAATTCCCATTGACATAAAGGTGAAACCTTACCGTATAATTATAGGCTAATATGATTTGATTAAACCCAACTGCTATGGGAAATTTCTGTTCAGTTTAAAATGGCTGCAGAACAATAATCAATAAGATTATGATTTCAGTGTTCCACTCTTCACTATTTGTAACATAATTACTATTTGCATGCAAACTGTGAAGATATGTGTTGAAAATTTTGCAATTGAACCCAATTTTACTTGCTCAAAGCCTTGAATAGTGTATCAGTTGCAGCCGTAGATAAGAATTATCATGACTAAAAATTGCAGCTACTGACTGTTGAATAGGCCTTAAGCCTATTCATATATTAGATGACAAGAAGTATAAGTTGTAAAAGAGTTTATTCCAGTTCACTATGATCAAAACTAGAACTCAATGCTATGTCCTCCCACACTGACAACCACAAGTCAACTGACCTCTCTCACTGGAGTGTACACTCTCTCACACATACAACCTTACATTAAATGGATAACACATAGTATGATACTAACTATATGACACAACTATACATTATCCTACACCACTGATAAGGGGGAACCATGCCTTAAGCTTAAAGAAGATGCATGTTTATACAATTCCACAATCATGGTTGATGCATGGTTTCCAGCCCATGGGACCTTATTCACGAAAACTTAAACTAAGATACAATCGAAATTTTAAGAAATATTGCAATTCGATTGGCTGACCAGTAAAATCAATTTGCATATATCCAATTTGCATATTGGTCAGCCAATTGAATTGCAGTATTTCTTAAAATTTTGATTGTATCTTAGTTTAAGTTTTCGTGAATAAGGGCCCATGGTCTAGTAAAATGTCAGCCTGTATACTGTACCACTAATGAGATGAGACAATAACTTATTTTAGCTATTCAAGTTATCTCAAATCGTTAAAAATCAATTACAAGCAATTATGGATGACAAACTGACAGACATTAGTGACAATAATATATACACATGTAGGACTAGGACCACATTTCAATGTGACCATAATAAAATTAATTCACATAAAAATAAAGAGAGAAACAGTACAAACTTAATATAACATTTATTCATACAAGGAATTTAGTGTTAACCAAATCAAACCTAATACATGCATTGGAAATAACTTGCAAAAGTTTTTGATTAAGTCTTAAGAATACAGACAATAACAATATGTAAATATTAACATAATATATGTAGCATAATATCATAATAATCACAATTGCACAATATGGCCGACAATTACTATTTTAATTAAAGCGCAATTTTATTGATGGTCCTTTCCTCGTTATCGAGAAAATGATAATGAATATATGTTTGAAATATCGTAGCTTAAAAGCTTTATATATATCGCTGACATTGACATTTTTATTGGACTTTTATTTAAAACTATTGCATTTAGGCCCAATAATGAAAATATAAATGAACAGTTACGTGTATATGTCTTTGGTTTTGATCTTTAAAAACAGATGGCTTGGGTCAAATTATCATACAATTCCATTTGTGTACACCTATATGGTACATACATGGATTCCACTGTACAGATATCACACTTGAGATTCCACAATCCCATACATATTAAAATATAATTTGTAAAATACATATAAATATATTGGCACAGACTAGCAGAATAATAAACATTAAAGCAAATTTTCATACACATTTAGGCCTATTGGAGAGTAGTTTTTTTTTCAAGACTAAATTATGGCACAAACTGACACATTGGAAGACACTGATATGGAGAGACGATATGCTACATATGTATGATGGTGACCTCATACTGGATATTTGTAAAAATGTAAATTTCTCTCAAAAAGTAACATGCATTAAGTACAATGTAAAAATATTAGCATGAGCATTATTACTAGGCTAAGATTGATATACACATGTTAAATTGTGATATTAACAAATAATACCAATTACATGAATCAGATTACAGCAATACAAGTCTCAGTTATTTTCTTTTATTTTTCAGATTATTTATTCGCCCGGGTGAAATGTTTCTACCTATATTTAAGCTTATAACTTCGCGAGTTTTTGAGCAATTTTAATAATTACTTTTTCTTGTTAAGATTCTTTATATAACCCATGACATTGTGACAGGAAGTGACCGTGAATATGAAAGCTTTCATATCTGCCTGGGAGATCTATTTATTATTATTATTTTATTGTTTGTTATTTTCCTGCAAATCTTATATCTGTGAATCTAACCATAGGATCTTTCTGAAACTTTTACCTACCCCACAAGATTGGGTGGTAGCTTTGGAATGAATATATTTACAAAACGTTTTACGAATCCGAAATCACCGAATTTTACAAACGAAAGCATTTGACCTACATTGCTGTAACTTTGTGACTATTTGACCTATTTTACTAAAAAAAAATTTCTTTGAGTACCTTGAAACATTTACCTCAAATCTGCTATTTCCGATTTTTGAATTTCGAAAATGACCTCATTGACATTTCGTAAAACCAAATTGGTGACTTCTTTAATATAAGAATGATTTTTATGAAATTTGGAATGTAGGTAGTAGATCATTGACTCAACGTCAACGATATCATTAGAAATGTCCTAACTTATCCCCCTTAAAACAGAACACATATTTTATGGGAAACAATCACTGGTTTTATTCTAAAAGCATGTTTTGACAAGTATCCTCTTAGCACAACATGCCCTGCTATATGGCACAACATACCCCTTCAGAGAGAGAGAGAGAGATGGGGTTTAACGTCCACTCGAAACAAACTAAGGTCATTTCGGGACTAACACATGGTTCAATTTTATTCCAATAATTCGCTTACGCGTAGGGGTCTTTAGCAGTGGGATGAAACCAGAGGACCCGGAGAAAACCCACAAGGTTGGACAGGCGATCCTACTCCTTGTCACGTTTTTATACAATGCAATATTGAGATATTTCAATTTTCAATACAGAATGTAGAAATATTGCAATACAATTTTGGCAGTTGGAATTCAATGTAAGAGTAGGCTGTAGCGCCACTGTCCGGGCAAAATGTCCCTCATAGCACACAGTATGGCGTATGCCCATCTTCATTAGCCCAGTCGCAGCAGAGCAGTAGGACGTTATTCATGGGTATTAATGAACTAGTACATATATATACTCAATAACAGACCTTATGATATAACGTGCACAGTACACTAACCATCCAGCCGTCCACCATCCTCAATTACCCAGTGTACTCATTCCGTTCTACTCCACTATACCCTGGGTTAATCCATAGGGTTTCCACGATTTCAAATTATCTGCCCTGGCCTAGAATGTAGCTACAGTCTACGAACCAATCAGAAAACAGTTTACAAACCAATCGTTTCGCCTTTGTTTTTATAAGGGTAGATAATCAAATTCATGTCGATTAACTGAATGATTTATGTAAATAATGTATATATTTATAATTTATTTATATTTAATTGTATTATCAAAATCTGTAGTATGTGTTGTTGATTTCAAATATGTATAACATCTATATGTTTGACTTTTGTTGTTATTATTACTGTTCGTTCTTTGTCTGAAATATGTCATTCTGTTATGTTTATTATTATTTAACTTATACTTGGCAATTTGATTTACAGTAACAGTAAATTTGTCTGCGATATCACCTCGGTGGAAGCGGACGTAAAATACAACTAACTAACAACAACAATTTACAGTAACTTATCTTTGATATCACGTGGACTTAAAACTTTGGGAACGAACGAACGATTCTAAATAAAACTAATGACCCTACATTATTATTTGAACGTCTCGTCTCCATTAAGATAATATAAAATTGGTTGTTAATAATTACGCATTTAGAATAGGCCAACTCCTAACATCGTCGGATGAGAGTTACTTCCCTTTGCCAACTTCCTTTTTAAATAACAATTTATGGGGTTGGTCTATAAAAATACCACAATCATCAAGGGCGGATAACTTGAAAACGTGTCCCCCCCCCCATAGATTAACCCAGGGTATAGTGGAGTAGAACGGAATGAGTACACTAAGTAACCGAGGATGGCCGTCCACCCACCCCTACCCCCTGTAATTATCGGAAATCGGCTTATTGGCTCATGACCTTATTGACTGTGTATAAGATAAGTTTAAGGTCAATCGGATATTAACTTTAGCCTCTAGAGTGTCCAGAAGATTTTCAAAGTGATCAAGGGCAATAACTCTGACAGTAATTATCGGACATCATTGACCTTAAACACAGTGTATAAATTCAAAGTCGGACAGACCAATGAACAGGGGTGACAACAATATACGACCACATTTCAATGTGGGCTGTCGGCATATAAAAATGGGTATAATACTATATCAAACAGCTATAAGATCATTTGGAGAATAGCACAATTTCTTATCAAACCACAGGTCAACCCTATCAATCGTTTTTGAATAGTTTTGTATATTATGTACTCTATGACAAACTTCACACATGGCCGGTGTCTCATATTGATGATGCACAAACACAACTTCATTATTTATCACTGTGGGCAAAACTTCATATAAACTTAAATACTGATCCTTACGTTTTAATATTTTCATATAAGCCTCGTGATTTGAACTTAGGTAATGTAGATGATCCGCTAAATCTTTAATAGTTTTAAAATCTTTGGAATCTATAAATGTTCCAGCAGGAATATATTTTCTATAATTTGCCCCGCCACGAGCCACCAAAATATAATCACTGTTAAAATGATAAAAGAATTTTTCTGTTATATAATCTTCACAAAATGCACTTTCAAATGCGAGATAGAATTTATATGTCGAATTAACCATATTCATAAATTCCACATCTTTGTTTCGCGGCCAAAATATGCCACATTCCCCATAAATATCAACTTTGATGTATTTTTGTAAAATTTTGACAAATTCCCATCTTTTACTATCCACATAGCAATTACTAACCATCCAAGCTATATTCTTAGTTTTATTTTTAACCAACAAATTTAGATCACGGTTGTAAAACTCTGACAAGGTTTTCTTACTAACTACACCATAAGGAGCAATAATGTCAGAGTCACTTCTGTAAAACATTGTCCAGTTGAATAAAGATCGCCAGAGCGATTTTCTAAATGCATTATCTACAGTCCAAGACCCAGTCAGTGGTTCTGTGTCATGTAGAATCCAAACTTGGTCAGTGTTGTGTCTCTTAGGCGGATTCCAATATTTCATAATCTGGGCATTAAATAGTACAGCAGCACTCACACTCATGTATACTGTATTTGTAGTCAACAAACACTTGTCTGGACACTCTTTTAAAGGCTGGAGATTGGTCGTGTCATTCACATATCTGGGTGGAACATGCCATAAGATTATCTTTGTATCTGTAAAATTATGTGTTATGTCCAGATTTGGTTGCAGTTTGTTGTTTATGTATGTATGCAACACACCTTTTTCTTGTATTAACTTCACCCTGATATCAGCTGGCTTTATATACACTAAATATACATACACTGGCAAGAAGGTTATTAATCCTATAAATTTTAGGATTTGTTTACATCTCCTGCAAAAGAATAGAGAAAAAGAAACATTAAAGGAGCTAAATTGCTAATATTTGGGTCCTAGAAATTGACACAAATAGGTTGTAACACATATAATAATGTAATATGAATGTATATAGACTGATTTACATTCAATCGTTTGTGTTTTTACTCTAATTTTTAAATCAGTTAGCGTCTGGTTATTCCAATCTACACCGGTAGTATTTATTGTACATGCTCTCCAGTTAAGAATATGGCGTCACCGTTTGACACGACTTGTGGAATATGTCTAGCCTTATTCTCTGTATGCCTCGTTACAAATGGTGCTCAAATGCATTCTGGTACATGATTTGTGTACCAATGGTAAAATGTTTATTTTGTCTTAAATATTGGATATCAGAAGCCCACATTTTACATCAATGTTGATTTAAATTGACAAATAACTCGTGTTTTCAATGTCGAGGACATTGGATGATATTGAATTAAAGACTTAGCTAGTTTAAAAAATGCAGTTTACAGCATAAATTGCTAGGCAACAAAACATACACCCTACACCCACCATGAGCTAAGTCGTCCAAACACCTTTTATTTAAAGATGCATCAAGGTTTAGACATTTCACCTTTCTTGCTACAGTGTATAATGATTTAAAAATAGATAATAAAAAATGACTATATTGAAAATTTCAGTCAAATTACTTTATCCTGAGGAAGGTTAAGAGTGTTTTGAAAAAAAAATAGCCGATTGTCAAGTTTCATTGTCATGATAATAAAACAAAGTCTCTATTGTCAGTCCTTTTCTTGAGCGACATCCATTTCAACGTCAACCGATTATATATGGCACAGATTGTCTAATCCATTTAATATTTCAGCCTTTCAATGTTCCAGAGTGTTGATTATGATTTATACAGTACAGTAGAATCTGTATGAGCAGCCACTCCTATTCAGCGACATCTCCTTTTAAGCGGTCACGATAAATTCCCCCCGTAGAAATTCTGTTGTTTTATCTCTTTATTCAACGGTCACTATTTTACTAATAAATTCAACAAAACATCGCCCATTCAACGGCCATTGTTGAATGATAGCATCTTGTCGTTCTTTGTAACACCCCCGCTAATCCCGTGAGTAGTAGTTAATTAACTGGACCCCCACTGATCAGGTAAAAAGAAATGTAAACATAACAATCAACCCGGGATTATCTGTTAATTAATCTTTTGTTTTATTAAACGACTAACCTGATCATTGTTTTCACGCGGAACGACACATTATTTGATACTGATTGAATAAAATAAAAGTACCGAGTTTTGTCACGATCATCAAGTATCTCTCTTAGCGCCTCCTATAATATTACATACAGAGTTACACCCCCTGTAAATAGGTGATAAAATTAGCGATGTTTTTTGTTCATGTGATTTTTTGATAAAATAAAATGTATTCATCGATTTTCTTCACAAAAATGGAAAAATATTATCGAATGCATCACAATGACAGACAGTAGTATCGAAGGTTGGTACAAAATGACAAGTTTACAGAAGTTATGTCCGAGATTTGAGTAAAGAATTTTCGTCCGGCGCAAGATTCAACGACGGCCAAATTTACCGCTTCCAATGCATCCAAGCGTAATATTTAATTTATGTCGGCACAAAAAGCAACGAGATTTATTAAGAGGCCACTCCCGTTAAGTTATGTCCGAGATTTGAGTAAAGAATTTTCGTTCGGCGCAAGATTCAGCGACGGCCAAATTGACCGCTTCCAATGCATCCAAGCGTAATATTTAATTTATGTCGGCACAAAAAGCAACGAGATTTTATTAAGAGGCCACTCCCGTTAAGCGGTCAGTTGTGAAAATTCCCTTGGGTGGCTGCTTAATGCAGATTCTACTGTATATCATTACAAAAATTTAAGGTCCAATCAGGTACTTAGCCAGCATGCACTTAAAACAACCCTTAAGAGTGTGAAATAGATGAAAAGTTGCGGGGTAAAGATCGATCTGGGCAAAATTTTAATCATACATGTAGCCGACAACATGACAATGCTCCCATTCGCTTGATTCATAATTCATTCCTCTGCAACTGAACGGGGGGGGGGGGGTTGGATGACCGAATGGTTAGCACGTGCGTGCTGTATCATACGGCCTGTCATTGAGTCAACTGGCGTGGTTTCGAATCCCCGGTTGTACGTGACAAGGAGTAGGGTCGTCTGTCCAACTTCGTGGGTTTTCTCCGGGTCCTCCGGTTTCCTCCCACTGCTAAAGACCTCTACGCGCAAGCGAATTATTGAAATAAAATTAAACCATATGTTAGTCCCGAAATGACCTAGTTTGTGTCGAGTGGACGTTAAACCCAATTTCTCTCTCTCTCTCTCTCTGCAACTGAACGATTCAGGTCTTATTTACAGAGGGGGGGGTGGGTGTTCGAATGGACTAATGCATGCACTTTAGATCATAAGGTCTCTTTATTGAGTCAATTAAGTGGTGTGCAATCTGATTAAAATACAGATCTATATTTCGTTTTGTTTCTTATACTTTCGATGGCCTACACTACATAAAGATTTGACCAGCTGTATTAGAAGGTTGCGTCAGGTGTCATACGAGTGGCTTTATACCTTATGACGTCAGCCATTGATTAATCAATCAGCGTTAACGTTTCTAGTGGTTTACACACAGTTCCGTGCACCTCAAGTCAAACACTCACTGTAACAGACCGTTTCATTGGCTAATCCCTCACAATACTCACATCATCCAGAACGCTGGTTATATAACAACTGGTGTGGCGCCAGTCAGGGTAAGCATACTCTTCCGGACACCTGTTAACACTGTTTGTTGTGTATTTTGTACATGGCGAACAGTCCATTTGCTGATTACACTATTTTGCCTATACCGTTTTTTTAGGTCCCTTTGTTACAACTTCCAAATTTGCTTGGACATGACATTTTGAAGGGCATTTTAAAACAAACACTACGATTTTCAGTTAAAAATGACAATTTGGCATGTAGAACAGTTCTGGTATATTATCAAATATGGATATAATTATTGTGATATGAGTTGAAATAATAGTGGATTTGGTTACAATTTCCAAACTTGCTTGGAAATCGTATTTTGAGGGGCCTTTTGACCCAAAAACGTTTATTACTATTTTAAAGATACATTAATTATGGGAGATTCGATAACGAGTTGGGCTCAGTTGGCAGTTCTCACTATAATAGTTAACAACTAGATAATGTAAAGGCAATTTGCTGAAAATTTCATTCAAATTGATCCACTATGAACCTGGAAGTAATTTAAGCGATAGAAATTTCCGTCTAGCCTCGATCATCATTACTAAAGTCAGTAGCCTACAATAAACAGCATAGTCTCGATTATCCATTTAATCGTTAAATCATGAAGGAAAGTTATGCAGTAAATCGGCTCATAATCCACTAAAGATCGCAGGCTAGCGATGCCATCTAGATTTGATTATGGTCCTTATAGGTTAATTAATGTCTAATTAATAATTTAGATAACATTTAAGGCCTAAAGAAAGACCTGCAATAGACAGATTTAGCTCTTGGATAATGTATGTTTAAATTAAAAATGATTTGGTATAAAGAAAGGTATATTATATATAAAATATCGATATACATGTACATTATACAGGCTCGATGACAGTTAGGGGGGTGGGGGGCAGAACCTGAAATGCCCAGAAAAAAAATTTGTGTTTACAGATAAAATAAAATAAAAATTTTTTATCACTTTACCCGTCTGCCCGAAAAGTCAGATTGCCCGAAAGTACGCCTACGGATGAGTTGAAATAATGTTGGATTTGCTACCTTGTTTTATGTAATAAATATCTATCTGTAGGCTACATTTGTACACATCAGGCGCAGATCCCCCCTCCCGCTCAGCTACATAAAATATTTTTGTAAAAATCAACACTTTTTATGAGAAAAATTTCTCGGCCATGTGCTTATCCTTTATCGTCAGATGTGGGACTGGATGGCCACTCAACAAAGCACGAGATAATGATATATAGACATATATTTATGTGATATCACAATTGATGCTTTGCATCCATGAAATTGTTGAATCACAATTTCATTGTATTAATTCATAAAAAAATTGACGTCAAACGAGGTGTTGAATTTCTCTGTTTAAAAAGCTCAATGTGTATATACTATATGCGCCAAAATGACGATAGAGACCATGCTGGAGAGGGGGGGGATACACTGTCTCAAGAACCTGGCAAACCCCCTCCTGAAAAAATTCCTAGATCGGCCCCGGCACAGGTATATAAATTATGTTGTTTTGTTCTTACCGTTGCAGAGTTCTCATCTTAAAGCTTATTTGCTTCCAATATTCATATTCCTCTAGTTGGTAATTCTTCTACTCTAGTCACGGAAATAATATTACCGGAAACAACCATATTATATTAGGCTACTCTGATAATGATATTTGTTACCAAACCATACCATTAATGGCATTATCACCACTTTTGTTCACAACACTTGTATATATTCATCATTGGCATTGCCGATTTTGATAATGGTATATCAGGCATGACAGCGTAAAATGACCTTTCTGTAACCCAACTTGGTGAGTAAGCCCGACGTTAGACTTAATGATGTTAATGTCGAGACCTGACCTAGTCTGCGCCATCACTTCGGTGGAAGCAGTCGTTAATACAGCTATTTTAGTTTAGGCCTACACACCATCAGTTTGCTAACTGGCATGCTACACAAACCGGTGACCTACAACTAGCCTACACACACTGACACAGCGATGCATTACTTCATATTCTCGGCCGGAGCTAACTGTAGACCATATTCCTGAAGCAATGGCCCAATGGCTCTAATCAAACAAAACACTGCGAGGAGTATGACTCTAGACAGGCAATCTAAGTTTGGGATGCTACTTTACGTCGCTCTCTAGATAGTGGGGCGGTTAAGGTCATTAAGGAAGAATTTTTGGTAGAATCGTGCATTTTGGGTTAAAAGCATGAAACTTGGCACATAGATGGCATCAACCCATAGAGTTATATATAGAAACTAGAGTCCGCACTGATCACGTGACTCCCATGACTACAACGTTAAAGGTTTGTGCCGGGATGGAGCGACGGCCGCTATGTTAGTTCCGGGGAGTATGAACGTAAATTCCCGGATGTTCACTATGTTATCGCATTTAAACTGTTTTAAAATGTGCACAAATATTAAATTTTCTCACCCAAATTTTTATTGTTTAATAAAAATAATAATAAAGATCCATGGACCGACTTATCTCCCGGCTCCACTTTCCACAGTAAAGGTTATAGAACATTTTAATTTGGCATGTCAGCGATCTCGACCGCAGTTTTTCTACGTCTACCTACTTGTACTTACCTTCGCTTTCGCTTTTAATTTTTATTAAAATATTAATCTTTTAAATTAGTGCAATGTACACAATAATTATTCCTATACAGTAAATTTGTTAAATTGTTTTAGAAATTTATGGAACTAATTAATAAAGAATGTAGAGAAATGAATGGGGTTTTTTAACAATAAAAGTGAACAGAAATCAATAGCCCGCAGAATTATATGTAGCCTACCGGTATTTTTATTTATTTGTTTTAATTATTTTATTTTAGGAAATTTGGGAATGAAAAGTGAAGAAAAATTAATAGCCTGCGTAAAATGTTGTATTTCTATTTACCGGTATTTATTTATTTGTTAATTATTTTTAGAAATTTGTGGAACTGAAAAAGTGAAGAGAAATTAATGGCCTGTTTGTAGAGAAATGTATAGTTTTAGAACAACAACAACAATAAAGGAAATATGTTTCCAGAATGAAAAAAATATTTATGAAATGAAATGGGGTTTAACGTCCACTCGACACAAACTAGGTCATTTCGGGACTAACATATGGCATATGGTGGGCAATTCCACGCTAAAAAGTAATACAATTAGGTGAAAAATTTAATTAGTTGATAAGTGGACAAAAATAGTGTCTTATGGTGGGAAATAATCCATATTTTGAAGAAAAATCTCAATTTGGGTGGAGACTCTTCCAATTTTTTTTTATTTGGTCTTTTGTCAAGGTTTACGTTGTAAATGTCGAATTTATAATTCTATTGTATTTTCTTACTTTGTGTTTGTTTGATTATTCTGGCTCATAATGAATGATTTGGCATTAGTTATATGACAATGTATATAAACATAATATTTAAACATTAAAATATAAAAGTAACATATTTTTGTGAAGGTAACCAACATTGAAAAATATCACTATGAGAATGTACGTCCGTTACCAAATATTTACATTTTTTTTTCTCTCATTCATTTTTTTATATGGAATTATTTAAAACTTCATATCTAAAGCTATATAATAACCCATTCTTACTATTATGACTGTGAAAAGAAAAGATTTGCAAAAATTCTCAGAATAACTTGGGTTTTCATAGATGTACGTCCGTTACTTTTCACAGTATTTCATGTTACCAAATATTTCCATTTTATCTCTCTTATTCATATTTATTGATGGAACCGTTAAAAAAACTCATATTTAAAGCTAATAACATCATTCATTCTTGTTACTATGACCGTAAAAAGAAATCATTTGCCAAAATTCTCTGAATTACTTAGGGTTTCATAGATGTATGTACGTCCGTTACCAAAATTTTAGGGTAAAAATGTACGTCCGTTGCCAAAATTTTAGGGTCACAATATTTCATTCAATCAAGGAGTAATGTTTTTAGGAAAGTAACTGCTCCATTAATTCAAATGAGTTAACTATTATTATTATCTATAAGTCCGATTATTTGTAAGTTTACATATCTAATGTAATGGGTTACATCCGTTACCAGAAAACATGTACGTCCGTTACCACAATAATTTCTAATTTACTGGGTTACAAGAATCCAAATGTGAGAAGTGATTATGCAGTACACATGTAGAATTAGTGCCCTTTCTTAAAAGGATTAAAACTTTTAAATTCCACAAGACAATTCACAGAGTTTTGAAACTATGTTCATGCAGGCAAATCATGGTGACTGTTCATTTCTGTATGTCTGTTACCTATACTTTGAAGAGCCAATATTTATTTCCAGTGTTCATGAACAAATTAAATTATATGTCAATTGATACTGAAATCATATGTCTTTAATGCTATATAAAACTCAAACAGTTAATTATTCATGGTTAGAAAATATTGGAAGTAATAAAAATATGGCGAGTTCAAAATGTACGTCCGTTACCGTGGAATTGCCCTGGTTTAATTTTTCTATTTCAATAATTCGCTTGCGCGTAGGGGTCTTTAGCAGTGAGAGTAAACCGGAGGACCTGGAGAAAACCCACGAGGTTGGACAGGCGACCCTACTCCTGAGTCCTTGTCACGTACAACCGGGGAATCGAAACCCCACCAGTTGACTCTATGACACATAGGCCTACGAGTTAGAAGATATGGTGGCTGTATAATTTAATATTATATTTTTTTTTTTAAAAAAAGGTGTTAAACGTGTCAAATTGTGTGTGTGTGCGGGGGGGGGGGGGGGTAGGCGCCCAGTGCCTAGTTGTGTGAGGTTGCGGTTGAGTAATGACTATGAGTGTGTTTGTTTTCGGGGAGCATTGCAGAGACAGCGTCTCGTTCGGATGGGACGAAAAACCGAGGTCCCGTGTAGGCCTACACCTTGGCGTGCACGTAAAGAACCCTTGTCAGTTGGAATTCAATTGCTGTCCGGGCAAAATTCCCCTTAGAGCACACTGTATGGTGTATGACCGTCTTCATTATCCCACTAGGACGTTAAACCCCATTTCATTCTTCATTGAGTTAAAATTTCGTGAAACAGGGCCCAGATATTTAACCTCTATTTTAATTCCTTTAATGAACGAAATCGACGCTGTTTGATTTTAAATATATATTAAAAAAATCATCCGTTGAGTACATAATGTAATGTTTTTAAAGAGGTAACCACTTATATTTTTCTAAAATATATTATTTCAAATGCTAAATTAAAAAATCCTTATTCAAGTACATTGAGGTTTAACTATAATCTCAATTAATATAAAACAATTAATATGCTAATTAACATATGAATTAATACAATGATAACTACAATTATCTGGTCTTTTTTATCTTTTAAAACATTTCTCATACAGCTTTTAATTTTTCAACAACTCCGCAAAAAACAAAACCACATCACATCTTCCCCAAAGGTTATTGACATGTCTGTTTCACTCCGTCACTCAATTATGTCACATATGTCTCTAACCAAGTAGGATGTAAAGAGAATCGGTTTAGCCTCGATTGTCATTGTTAGTGCTGTCACGATTAAATAACAGTCTCGATTATCCACTTTTGTGTTTAATCATCAACGGACGTTGAACAGCAGATCGGATTCAAATCCAGTGAAAATCGGACAGATTAGATGGCATCGAGAGATGATTATGATCTTTTATGTTAAACATACATTATGCAAGATCTTGATCTGCCTATTGCAGGTCTTTCTTTAGGACTGAAATGTTATCTGAATTATTAATTAGACATTAATTAACTTATCCAGACCATAATCAACTATCGATTGCATCGATGGATTTCAGAAGCTAAATCGCTAATATTTTGGGCCTAGAAATTGGCACAAATGGGTCGCAACACATATACTAATGTAATATGAATTTATATAAACTGTTTTGCATTCAATCGTTTCCGTTTTACTGTGAATGTCATCAGTTATGTTCGGCGAAATATGCCAGAAGTCTCAACCGTAAGACAGTTTCTAGCGTCTGGTTATTCCAGTCAACACCGGTAGTATATATTGCGCATGCTCTCCAAATAAAAATATGGCATCACCGTTTGACATGACTTGTGGAATATGACTCGCCTCATTCTTTGAGCACCTTGTTACAAATGGCGCTGAAACGCATTATGGTACACGATTCGTGTAGCAATGGTAAAATGTTGATTGTCTTAAATATTGGATATCAGAAGCCACTCTTTTCCAGGTAAGATCACAACACCAATGCTGATTTAAATTGCAAACAAATTCGTGTTTTCAATGTCGAAGATTTTGGATGATATTGAGTTACGGACTTAGCTACTTTAATATAAGCAGCAGCTCATTTTACGTTTACGCCAGCTTGTTACAGCCAAAATTAAAGACTCAGTAAAAACAACGATATGCTGAAATATTTTATTTTTAAACGATTTTCAACTACATCTATAAGTATATAACTGATTAAGAAACAAGGCATAAGTTGGCCCATATTGGCCCAAATTAAACAATATCTTAAAATATGTTGGTATAGATACAAATGTTTATTGTCGTTGCAGGCAAAAATCTCGACCCCACCCTAACATGTTTGTATGTCGAAAATTTCGAAATGATTTTTCCCCATTAATATTACCATAAAGTGGTATGTTCCAAGTTTAAGGGAAAATTTAAATTTTGGACCCGTACTAGCATGGCGGACCGACAGGCATAATACATCCCCACACCCCCTTCACATCATGTTGGTATGTCGAAAATTTCGAAATAATTTTGACCCCATTCACATTCCCATAACGGTTATGTTCCAAGCTTAGAAAAATGGAAAATTTAGAATTTTGTTCTGTAATATGAAATTTGGGCACAAAATCTGATTATTGTTTAATATGGGCATATATAAGAACTAAATAATGTACAATAATTAATCTATTCAATACACTATATGATATTTTGAATAAGTTGATTTAATTGGCGATAACAAGATTATAATTTGTTTAATTTAACATCAGATATTTTGATCACAATAACAAAAACTTTCAATGAGAAATACAAATATAAATCAAAATCTCTTATCTTCTAGAAGTATATAATATAATCTATTTTGACTGATGAACTATCAGTTGGCCCACATTCAACAATATTTTAAAATCTACAAATATATGGGTATAGATGGTTGCGTGCAAAAA